CTGTGGCTCAGGGTGGCTGTGAAGGTGGCCCAACATAAAATCATAAATTTACTTAAAACATTATGAGATTTTTTGTGTGTGTGACTACGTGTCACAATGTTTTTAATGTGTGGCCCAAGACAACACTTCGTCTTCTAGTTTGGTCCAGAGATGCCAAAAGGTTGGATACCCCTGCTTGCTAACCACTAAGGCCTAAATGTCTTCACCTCAATATTAGTCTTATACAAAAAAATAAAGCTTCTACCTCAGACAAAAGGAAATTTCCTTGCACATTTCAGCACTACAAATAAGCAAAAGGCCATTACTGCAGTTGTATAATTTGTTACTAATCTTGTAATGGCCAGTAATATTAGCTTCTTACATTCTAATATTTATCCAGAACAGAGAAGTCACTTTCTGATTATTAAGGAGAGGATTTGCCATCATGTTTTCATGCATTCAGTCATTAACACATTATTTCTGCCATGCCTTCACACATGGTGTTTTTGTTTCTTTGTTTTCCTTTAAGGTCCATACTTCCATATCCAGGCTAACTGATTCACTATATTTCCATTTTTCTAAAATTTCTTGACATGAAATCAAGATAGAACTGGGCTTTGTCTCCCTAACTAGTAAATCTAGCTGACAGATTATTTCTCTCTCACAGTTAACGGCATCACCTGCCTCAGAGTTGTTTAATATCGAAAGCATTGCACACTTGACTCTCCTTTGTCCCTTCTCTCTCCACACCCAACTTACATCAAATGCAGCTGCAGTGGACATTTCATAGCATCAGTCATATCACCTGCTTTCAGAAATGAAGGACTTATTTCTGTAGCTATTGGGAATGATGCTGGAAGATGACCATCAATCAGGTCAGCCCTCTTTAGGCATTGCCTTGCTTGAAAAAACAAAGCCTTGTCTAAGGCCGAACCTCTTTCCACGTGTATCCCACTTTCAATAACTGATCAACACAGCAGTATAAAGGCTCAGTCCTCTTCTCCCAACTTGGGACAATTCTGAAAGGCCATCTTAGCTTTAACCCAAGGAGCTAACTGAACCCTTCACTGGGCTTGTATGGAAGCTCAACTTCCCTCTGTGGCCAACATACTTTTTACCTTTCCTTCCACAAGTGTTGATCATAACACATTTTGCTAATGAATGTCCTGTATGCTAATCTCCCATCTCAACGTTTGATTCCCTGGAAATCCAAGCTGTTCAAGCATTGTTCTCCCTTTTTATTTCTCTTGAAAGTGCTCCTCTGTTTTTTAATCCACTATTACTGGCTTAGTTCTCATGTAAGAATGATCTGTGCTAACTTTTTGTTCCATGGCCAAATAGGCATTCAAATTCGCACTTCCATACAGGCACACTTAAAACACAATTGCAGCTCCCTGCTGGATGATGTGAACATTCCAAATCCATCCATTTCTCAAAATTTCTACCCAGCAATCAATACCCACTACCCACTATAGTATGGACTCTAAGCGACCCATGAAAGCACCCTCTGCAGAGAGATCCTTTATACACCAGTGGTCCTGCATGATTATTTTTCAGTGGGGACTCACTGACTGAAGAGCAAACTTGAATCAATGTTGGATAGGAGGTAGTGAACAAATACCACAACTTCCTTGCTCTTCAGTGTGACAATTCTCTCAGAAGGTTCCCAATGAGGTTCCCCATGTCTCAGGGGTAATGTGACATCTGGCTTACTTTTTATTGATTTTCTCCCTTCAGAATCTTACAGTAAGTCATCATTTAATGCCATCAATAGGTTCTGAGACTTTAAGTGAAATGACTTATAACAAAACCAATATTACCACACACTAATTGATATAAACGAGATATGTTCTTGCAGCAGCCCATCAATATTATAACAAAAGGACTGACATTGAACAAAACCTCATTATTTGAGGACCTGCTGTGCTTCCCCATTTTCTCAGGGGGATTCCTGTGATCATCTCTCATATAATCTGCTTGCAATTAAATCCTTTTCTCAGGCTTTGCTTTTGGGAAAAGACACAAACTAATATTAAGAATTGATCAAAAAGAATATTGCTAAAGGCTGCAAAATGATCTCTCAGATTTGACTGCCCTCTCTTGCCCCTCCTAGCTGTCTTATATATTACCTCCAGATTTCTCTTTCTAAACTTCAGTTAACTGAGGCTCCTCGATAATCCTCAGTGGCTCCCATTGCAACACGAAGTAAAACAAAACTCTGCCCAACACAGTCTGCCTGTATTCCTAACTGCATGTCACTCTGCCTTCCTGCCACATACACACAGTCTAGACACAGCCCTCTATTCATTATTTACAGAAAGTGTCTCCTCTGTGTTTCCAATACAGTTGTTTCCTCTGCTGGAATGTGGTCCCCACCACATCAGCTGATAAATCTCAGTTTGTCCTTTGAGGTCCAGATCAAAGCCATTATCCCTTAAGAAGTCCTCTCAGACTCCTACTGTGAGGGGTAAATATTTCTACTACCATGTTCCCCAGTGTTATATTTAGACTTTTGGTACATCAGAGTGTATCTTGTACTGAGATGATTTATGGATATCTGTTTCCATAACCAGATGTGAATTCTTAGGACTCAAAAAGCCATATCGTCTATTTTTGTATCCGGTGGTAAGATTCAAAATAACGAACAAGCCTACATCCCAGCTCTGACCAACCAGGAGGAACACAGGATCAAAGTCCTGTGGCACCCTGATGTGTTAACTCTCTAGTTGCTGCTGGATTGTCAGGAAGTCCAGAGGGCCTGGGGGAGGGGCTACAGCGGTTAGAATGGCAAGTTACAGTAATAGTAGAGCTCAATCAACTGAGTATTTCCCAATGTATAAGGAAAAGCATCTATTATAGTATTGTAACGGAGCATAATTGGTTGAATATCAGTTTTGTTCATAACTACTATGCTTGTCAAGGCTTCCCCAATTACAGGCTTTTTGTGAATAATTGTTATATAATAAAAGCATAAATGAAAATTAGCACAAAGTGATGTTTTAAAGACCACTGGTACACACTGATATACTTCTTTAAACAGCACAAATAGGAACATTCTCATATACTTTATAGTCTAGTTTTCTTTATATTCTATCAGATTAACAGCTGTTCAGAAGCAATTACATTTGCACTACTTAAAATATTGTTGAAATCTTCTTCCAGTAACATCAATAAAAATGGTATTAGCCTTCTTTATAGGCTCAGTGTCTCCATAATACAATGGCAATACTAATTCAATTCTAAGAGATCACCCTGGGAAGAAAGATCATGATCACATCTTGAAAATATTTTCCAAAATTATGAAGCCTGCAAAATCTCTTGTGTATCCAGCAACACTTATTAATTCATTCTCATTTTACAATATACCCTGAGTTGCCTTTCACATCCCCAAATTCCTGCTGAAGTCCTTCAAACCAACACATTAAGAGTCCATATCTGATTAGTAAAACCATGTATTGAAATTTTATGGCCTCAGAAAAGCTGCCAAATCCAGCAAAAAATGACTATACAAAGAAACACATTAAATCTGATTATTTAATTTTTACTAGTTTCATTTCTATAACTTTATGAGTCTGATTCAGAGACCAGAGGCTTTGTTTTGTTTAAGGGAATCATAAATATTGCTAATTCAGCAATGTTCCACAGTTTGAGGTTCCTCTTATGTTCCTTCTCAGACACAGAACTCATTGCCTTTTATATTACATGAAACTGAGATTCATTATGTTTATCAAAAATAATGGCAAAAAGTTAAAGTTCTAAAATTAAAAAAAACCTCACCATTAGAACTATCATTTGATGATTAAAAATGAAACTGAAATTTATATTTCTTAAAACCAATTTTAATCTTCTGAATTACACAATGACAAAATATGGTATTTTACTGAAATGCTTGGAATAGGCTCACTATAGCTCAAAATCTACCAATCACATAGAGAATCATTAATGGGCTTTGTAAAGCCAAATGTCTGCAAAGTGATGGGGAAGATTTCAGAAGATGTTAATGACTAGGACGGTGGTGATATTTGACGTCAAGCAGAGAGTAGGGGTGGGCAGGCTGGCTCTTCCTTCACAACACATTCTACTACAGTGGTACTAACTGGATCATTGTTTGCCATTCTGAAACTCCCCTTCTGCTTGTTAATGGGACTGGAATCCAGTCTACTCTGTACTTTCTTTTTTGGTACAGCTTTCTATAACTTCTATGCTAGGGTATAGATCCTTTCCTAAAACATTCTTTACTGAGGTAAGCAGGGATGAGAGGCTAGTGCTGTACTTCCAGGGCATACAAGATCGCTGCTAGGTGTGTGCTTTCTGTACCTCTAACTGGTATCTGTTTACCTACATTACAATAATTTCCTCAGTAGGAACAAACCACCACAGGGCATTTAATTTTCTTCCAAATAGGATAACTTATTCCTTTGATGAATCACAGCCCCTCTGTCCTTCTATATTACTCTTGTACACTTTTCACCACCCGTGCCTGAAAAAACTTGTAATATGAACCTTTACTCTCATTCCTAAGCAAGCAATTCTGTTCAGGGACCACCAGTATAATTTGTATAAATGAATGCTTTGTTAGGCACACAGTAAGAAAACTTCATACCTACCAAAGATTTTTAACCTATTGTTCATGTATCAATTAAGTGCATGTATGTTTTTATTATACCTAGTCCTAAAAACAGACATTCTCATAGGATGCTGTCTGGTTCATAAGTTGCTATAACTATTTCAAAGTACCACAATTTTAAATGTCAATTCCTCCAATTAAATATTTCTACTTCTAGGAATTTGTCCCACAAGTAAATTTAAATAAATGGCCAAGAGAGTATAGCACTAGACATACATAAAACGTGTGCCCCAAAGCTCTGATTATTTAGAAAGATAATAATTGAAATGGAAAACTAAATTTCTGTCTGGGTCATTTATTAGAAAGGGAAAAAATAAATTACACTTTTATTTCTTCTGTTCATGTATCTGGACTACTGTGATAATTAAAAATATTTTACTAATGATTTGGTTACCTTTGAATACACCACGTTTCCCAGAGCTTATGTGTAGAGCATAAGGAACTGCACTAAAAGGAGCTACGGTGACGTGTCTATTTCCCCACAGTATTGGAAGATCTGAAGATACCTAGAAAAGAGAATTCAAAATCAAGAATTATATATCAGCATTTACATGAAATCAATGTAACATGCCAAATCATAGAAAAAAAGAAATTTAAACACTTTCATTGAAACTGCTTACTTTTAAATAAAAAGCAGGCCAAAAAAATGCTACATGCAATAAAAGAAAAATCTGAGACCTATAAAAAATAGAATAAAAAAGATTCCTACAAAAAAGGAACAATGTTTATTTTCTGTGGCTACTTGTAGCAAGATCATTGATGATTAGACAATCTGAGTGCCTTTTATAGGCCATTTCTTTATGCAATTTGATGTACAAAGGATGAACCATTTCAAAGAATTTCTACATCAATATTAATAGAGCATATAAAGAATATTTAAGCAACATATGTCCACAACTCTAGTTAAACCCAACTTTCAGCATATTGAGTATTTTTATCTTGCCACCCTCCACTGCCTAGTCAAACACTAATCTATGTTGTGTCTCTATAAATTTGCCTGTTTCTAAACAATCCAAAGAAATCATACAAGATGTGGTCTTTTATGACTGGCTTTTTTCATTTAGTCTAATGTTTTCAAGGTTCATCTACACTGTGATATATATTAATACATCATTTCTTTCATTGATGAATGACATTAAATGATATGATATGGCACATTTTGTGTATCCATTCACAAGTTGATGAAAGTTTGGGTTGTTTCCACTTTTGTCTACTATGAACAATGCTATTATAAAAATATGTACAAGCTTTTGAGTGGACATAGATTTTCATTTCTTATGGACAGACATCTTGGAGTGGAATTGCTCAGGCATATGACAACTCAAATGTTTAACCTTTTAAATTACCGCCTTCCAAAATTGGTTTCCAAAATGGCTATACCATTTTTCTTTCCCACCACTGTGTGATGGTTCCTATTTTTCTACATCTTCTCTCAAAGTTTTTATTGTCTGTTATTTTGATTATAGCCATCCTAGTGAAGTGATATCTTACTGTGATTTTCATTTACATTCCCTGAATGACTAATAATGTGGGATATCTTTTCACCTGCTTATTGCTCATTTGTTTATCCTCTTTGTAGAAATGTCTATTCAGATTCTTTGGAAATTTTACAAACTGTGTTACCTGTCATTTTATTATTGATCTTCACATACTCTAGAAATAAGGTCTTTATCAGATATATGGCATGTGGATATTTTCTCTCATTCTCTGGTTTGATGTTTCACTTTCTTCAAGGCATCATTTGAAGCACTATCACTCTAACTTTGAGGTACAATTTACTTATTGTTTTGTCACTTGTGCTTTTGGTGTCATATCTAAAAAATAATTGCCTAGCCTGACCCAAGGTCATGAAGATTTACTGCTATGTTTTCCTCTATGGTTTTTAGTTGTAACTATTAAATTTTGGTCTAGGATCCATTTGCAGTTTACTTTTGTACATGGTATGAGTTAAGGGTCCAAATTCATTCTTTTGTCTGTGACTGTGCAATCGTCTCAGCACCATTTTTTTAAAAACACTTTCCTGTCTCATTGAATTCTCCTGGTATTTGTCAAAAATTGATTATTATTATTATTATTATAAGGATTTATTTCTGGAAATTCTATTCTATTCCATTTATCTACATATATACCTTACGTCAGTATCACATTTTCTTTAATATTATAGTTTTGTAGTTAAGGGTTTGTAGTAAGTTCTAGAATCAGGAAGTATGAGTCATCCAATTTTTTTCCTTATTTCACAGGATTGCTTTCTCTATTCTGTGTCCCTTGCATTTCTATGTGAATTTTAGGATTACCTTGCCAAATTCTGCAAAAATGTCAGTCAGGATTTTGATATTGTGTTAAATCTGTATGTCCATTTGGGTGATATACTGCCAGCATAATGATATTATGTCTTTGGCCCATGATCATAGGGTATCTTTCTATTGATTGGAAACTCTTAATTTCACTCAATAATGTATTGTAATTTTCAGTGTAGAATTCTTGCCCTTCCATTTGCCAATCTTGCTCCTAACCATTTTGTTATTTTTGATGCTATTGCAAATAAGTATTAATTTCACTTTGGATTGTTAATTGATCTTAATATATAAGATCAATGTAATTTTTCTATATTGATCCTATACCCTGAAAATCCTCTGAACTCATGTATTAGTTTTGATAGAATATTTAGTGATTTTCTTATAACTTTCTATTTACAAGATCATGGTATCTACAAAGAGATGTATTTCTTCTTTTTCAATGTAGATGCCTTTTATTTCCTGTTCTGAACTTATTTCACTAGCTAATACCATCTAGTACAATGTTCAACAGAAGCGGCAAGAATAGAAATCCTTATCTTGTTCCTGACCAGAGGGAAAAATCATTCAATGTTTTCTCAGTAAGTAGGAAGTTAGTTTTGGGTCTTTCACAGATGCCCTTCAGCATGTCTCAAGAACATACGGAATACTCTCCAGGATAGACTGTCTTAGGACATAAAAGAAGCCTCAATAAATTTATAAGGGCTACCAGCATATTCAGTATGTGTTTTAAAAATAATGGAACTAGATTACAAATCAAAAATTAAAAAAAAATTTGGAAATCCTTAGATGGAATTTTAGATGACATAGTGCTACATAACCAACATGTTAAAGAAGAAATCCCAAGGGAAATTAGGAAATATTTTGCGCCCATAGAGTAAATGCTTCCTTTCTTTTACTGTACTTTTCAACTCCAGGATTAATTCTATATATTTATTGATAGTGTTTATTGAAACTTTCCATTAATTCTTCAGACAAGACTCCTTTTAGTTCATTGAACATATTTATAAAGGCTTGTTTAAAGTCTTTCTCTACTTAGCCAATTGTGGGCCCCTTTCAAAAATAGCTTCTAGTGACTGCTTATTTTCCTGTGCATGGGCCATACTTTCCAATTTCTTTGTTTCCTTTTTCTTAGCCTCATAAATTGTGTTGTTTTTGTTGAAAAATGCACATTATATATAACCTAGTATAGCCATTTTTGAAATCAGATCACTACTTCCCCATGTTTTGGTCTTTGTTGCTTTAGTGACTTTTCTGAATTAAATCTGCATTCACAGATGTGTGTGTGCCCACTGATGTCCCTGCTTAATCAGCTTAGAGGGCAGGAAAAATTTCTCACAGGTTTGTTTAAATGCCTTGAAACAATAAATCATCAAAGTGTGTAGTAACACATTTTGGCCACTTGGTAATTATTTATAACTCTGCCTTATCCTTCATTTCCAGCTCACTTAGTGCCTCTGTGTCAGCCAGAAATGAAAAAACTGGATCCTCTCAGATCTTTCCTCAGCAAGTGCACAGCTCTGCACATGCATGTGGCCTGCACGTTCCCCAGGGACATCTCATTCCCCCAAAATTCCTTTCAAGTTTTTGGCCAAACTCTTGTTGGCCACAACTGTTATTGTAGCTTCAGGCAACTGCTGAGTGTCAAGCAATAATTGTTGAATAGTTTTGGCAAATGCCCTGAGGCTAGAAGTATAAATATTAGGAAGGCCCAGAGTACATGAACAGTGTTATTGATGCTTTAATGAAATAAAATTTAATTAATTTAATGGATAATATCTTTAATTAAAGAAAGAGCTTCACTAAAAATTTACACTCTATAAGTAAAATAAGCAGGTTCTTCAGCTTTATTTGTGGACTAAAATGATAGAAATGTAGACTAATTATTGCTGTTTGTGAGAATAATTTTGTTATGAATAGAATTCTACTTTTAATTATAGTTGATACAGCATAATTATTACTTTTAAAGCCTACATTTAAAAAAATACATTCATTCTGAAGAATAAAGTATTAAAAACCTGTAGACATCATCTCCACCATAACAACAAAATGAAATAACCAATGTTGTGAAATTACAGATTTTTCTTTAACCTATTTTCATTAAACTCTTAAGACAGGATTCCTTGCCTTACAGGATTCCAGTAAATTCTGGAAGGGGGAAAGGAGTGATAGAAAACTATTTTTTTCCTAAATTTGAAATAGTAGTAGTAGTAGTCATGATTTTTCCTTCCTCTCTTCCTTCCTAATCCTTCCTTCCCTCTCTCCTTCCTTTGTTTTAAATGCCACATATTACATTTGTATCTGTTCACTAAATAAAACTTCCTTAAAAACTATTTATGTGCTTGATACTATGACTTATGCTAGTTATAAAAATATGGATAAATGAGGCATGCCATTTTTCTCACAGTTTATATTCTAGTGGAGAATAATAAACAGGCAACAGCAATATGAGGCACATATGATGGTAAAACAGGTACAAAGATGACGTGGAAGCACTTGAAAGGTGTCTACTCCAGGTTTATGAGAATAGGGAAGGATTTTTGGAAAAGTGGTGTCTAGGACTTGTCCTAGACAATGAAAAGGAGTTAGACAAACACAAGGACATGGAAGATAGGGAGTTGGACTGAGATTTCAAGATGGTAGCAAAAGGGAATGTTTTTATGCGCAGGCCTAGGTGTTGCTGGAGCCAAGAGTGGCAAGAGACGAAGCTGAGCACATGAGCTTTTGAAGGACAGTAAAGCCACTTTGAGGAGTGTGTACTGCACCCTGAAGGGAAGAAATGACATTGAAGGGTTTTAGCAGAGGAGTAACAAAAAGAGATTTGTATTTATAATATTGATTCCATCTGCAATCCAGCAAGGAAGGAAGAAGAAAACCAAAGCACATATTTTTCATGATCATAAAAAAAGCAGAAGGTAAATACAGAGAATTTCCAAATGTTGGCAGTACCCTGTAAAACTGAATTCAGGTACTTGTGATGGATAGATATTTGAAGCTTATGTCGAGGATTCTGCTGCGCACACAACAATCTAGATAAATGTGAGAGTGGGAGTTGATAATTTATTTTGTGATTGGCTGAAACAAATCAAGCAAGGAGAGCTAAGTATAAAACTCCATAAAAAATAAACATGCAAATAATTATGCAATCATTCTCACTATTATTCACACTGGTAAATGACAGAAAATACTTGTGAAATGTTGTGTTTATAAGTTTCATATTAAAATTTCAAAACTTTAAAAAATTCTTTTGAAAATACCATTTATTATCTTGTACAACCTCTTCAGGTGAAAATACACGTGACTCAAATAAGTAGATTCTAATGTCTTAGGATTATATACTAATTTTTAGAAATGAAACTTGTTTGGAACTAATTCAGCTTTATAATTGCAATGAAATTTAATAGCTGTTAGACTAATAAAAAGCAGAACACTATACATTCTTTATGTGTCATTGCTTCACACTAATATAATTAAATGTTTTTAAATATTCATAAAACTCAAAATACTCCTACTAAAATAAATAATCTTACCTTGTATGTTACCGTGTTCTTTGCATAATTGGGCACCCTTACGATTCTATCTTCTGGGATCCCCACTTTACAGTTTGCCACAATGTGTTCCAAGGCCACAGGTCTTTTGCCAACCCCTTTCAAGGCAATGGCATGCTCTGTACCATCTTTTTTATTTTGTAGAATAAGTTTGGCCTGTGACAAATCAACCAAAGCTCAGCTCTACAAGAGTCACAATTGGATGACATACAACTCCTACTATTTTTTTAATCTTGAATCTGATTAATGAAATGAGCACTCACAGAGGTGTTGTCCATTTACTCTTCCAGTTTATGTACAATACCTTGGCTGAAGGATTAAGATGAATTTCCTGTGAAAACCTTATATCTCTCTTTACTTTTTCTAAATACAGAGGTTAGATAGGCATTCTCTTACATAGCAAGTATATGCGTGTTTATATCCTTGTCAAATAAATGTCTTCAGAAAATAATTTCTGAAATACCAATTTCCTTAGTGAATAAAAACAATAGGAGTAATGATTTTACTTTGTTAAGCATTTTATATAAAAGTAATCTGGATATAATTAATGGCAGCCAATGGCATTACAATTTTCAGAATGTTTAGCCCTCAAGGTAAAACATTTATTAGAGTTTCAAGCCAAGTGAACGCAAATGATCAAATTCATGAAAATAAAACTTATCTGAAAAAAGATTTACTATAAATTATAGAGGTTAATATCATACATTGTTTTATTGACACATTAATACTGGGTAAATATTATCAATGAGTTCATACCATAACTTCACATGGCAAAAGAGGTTTGAATGTGAGGGGATACTCTAAAGTTTGGCGTGGTCCAACAGATACATCAGATGGTCCAAAAAACCGTTCTCCTTCTATAAACGCTCGATATTTGCATTCCTTCCATGTTTCATTACCCTAAAAAGCATGAAAAACGTAGATAGATATGAGAGAGATAATACTTACGCAGTTGAATTACATATTAATTCTTGGTGCTTTTCATAAAATTATATATTGTATTTTAAATTTTATTTCTTAAGAATTACCACTTGAAAGTCACTTTTTTTTAACAACTATCAAAACCATTTACAAGGCACATGAATGTCTATATGCTCATTCAGTGTCAGACAGAGGAGCCTTGCGTACCAAGTTGATCCATGGGTTATTTAATATCTAAAGAAATAGTGCCTTGTTGGACTTACTACTGGTTTAAATGATCAAATGCTCTTGGGGTTACACATTTTACTCCTAATAATGGGCCATAAAAAAGTGTTCTTACTAGTACATTCCTTACATAGCAAAGGTTACATATCTCATCACAGCAAGATTTTGTGCTTTGAGCAGACTTCTGTCATATCTTTAATAATTAAACAAACAAAAGACAATTTATCGGTCAAAAAATTCAAAGTTCCTTACAATTATATTATCTCCTTCTATGCTATATGATCACTTTGAGTAATAGATAGCCAAGCTACAGACAATCATTGTTTTTAGTGCCCATAAAACCATCTTAGTAAGGCCAAGATCACAACTGAATTTGGAGCGGAGTGATCAGAGAGTCCAGTGCACTGCTTGGTGGAGCCGGGAGGCATAGCTTTTGAGTGGGAATTTGATGATAGGTTAAGGAAGTTAAAGTTAATTTTTTTACACAAAGAGATCCCATTATTTTTTTACACAAAGTAATTAATCAGGTGAGTAGATGAAATTTATATTCAGGAATAAAACTCTGACTTCAATGTAGAGAAACAAACAGCAACAGATCATTTAGAAATCGGTAATAGTTCAAGATGAGAGGTTTGGAGGACTTCAGTTGAGATGGTGGCAGTGGGAATGAAGAAAAATACAAAAAAAAAAGCTTGTACTTACTATTGGAATCTTCTGGGTAAGGGGTTGAAATGTGGGTGATTCAAATTTAAATCCACCTTCTGGAGTGGCCTCACCTACCACACCTTCGATGTAATACTGACGCACGTCATAGTTTGATACCAACAAAATTCGACAAGGGTAGCGTCCAGGATACAAAGGAGCAAATCGTAAATGAACTAGAAAAGATCCATCTGGAACTATGAAAATAATTTTAAAACAGTGTAGTTATTTTAAATGGCATACATCCTAAAAATCATTTTGGGGTAAAGCAATATTTAATATTATTGTGTTTAATTGTATAACCTAGAAGAGACTAGTTTATGCCAAGGTAACACACTAACCCTAAATCTTTGGGGCATAACAGGCAAGTTTATTTGTCAATGACAGATAGGTCATTCATAGGTCAGAGGGGGGGTCTGCTCTATAAAGTCACTCAGGGGCCAATGCTGTGAAAGATGTACCATCAGATACACCTCTCCTCCTTCCCTGCAGGTCAGGGGAAGAGAAGTGGCTAGAAGTTTGCTCAAGGACTGACTTTTCAATGTTCAGCCCCAGACCATCACCCATTACATTTAGTTGGCCAGAACCAGTCACATGGCTCTAACTGAATGGGGGCTAAGAAATAAGACGGATGTATGGACTATTTGGTAAGCATTATTGTTTCCCAGATTTTCATGGCTTACGAGTGCTCTGTCCCATAACAATCAAAATAATTTGCAACTTGACCAACAGATAGAACTAATTTTTTTCTTAGTTAATAACCAAGGAAAGCACAAAGAGACATGTCTAATGACTACTTCTCATATCACCTTGCTATTCCATTTACCTTAAGTTAATAGATAATATCATTTTTTATGAGGGGTATACTATCTATGCTGGTCCTTTCTTTCCGAGCAATACTACTTTATCTCAGAAGATCAGCATTTTCCTATTCTCCATAAAATGAGAAAGCCATTATAAAAATCACTCAACCCTAAAGTAGAATGCAGTATAAGAATATAACAGAAATTTCACCACTAATGCCAAAGTATTTAAGTAGTACATGAAAAACAACCAATAAAAATATTTAGAAGCCTAATTCTGCAAAGAAGTTCCTTCAAACCAAGAAAACAAATCAAGCTTATCAACCAATGGAACAGACAGATATTATGACATTAATTGGTTGTAATTTTAATTGACCCTCATTTAATAACACAGATGTCAAAAATGGCAAACTTGTTTCCAAACACACTGAAGTTTGTACACCAAGAAAATCAGCCACTCCTGCAAGAATAACTGCTTCGAACCATTTTTCAAATAAACTGAAGATCTGTATGTGTCACAAGTTACATGTTATGTGCTACCTATTATAAAATACATTAATTATATATTATATAGCATACATTGCAGGTTGTATATTGCTATATGTCATGTATGCTATGTATAATGTTACATATTGTATATTGAAACACACTGTTAATGGATCACATTGGAAATCTATATTACATCTAACCAAATTCCAAGATTCTCAGTCAGTCTAAGGAGGAAACAAAGTGTTGTTATTATTATTCCATCCTTTTCAAGTACAAATCAAATTTTAGAATAAGATTTTCTCTTGTCCAGAGGACTCCAGGCACATTTTGTCATCTGTTATTCACTGATACTTTGATTCTGAAAGAAGTATTTGCATTGTGGCAACATCTTTAGAACAAAACAGGTGAGATAATGATTTGATAAAAATCTGTTGGTTTATTAACAGAAATAAGGAAACCTCATTTTTCTCTTGCATGAAGTGACTGAAATGAAAATTCTTAGATTAAGCAACTTAAAGAAAATTAAACTGTTTAGGAAATTTAAGAAATTCAACATTAATTATTATTTTCATCAAAAATAAAGAATAGCCATTTAATAGTAAACAATAACAGAAATGCACAAGTTCAAGTGTAAAGTGTCTGTCAAAAGCTTTATGTTATACACTGTTCCCTTTTCCTTAAAATACCCATTTCCTAATTACAGAGGCAAAAGTGAAAGCCAAGGACATTCTTTTTTTTTATTTACCAACTCTATTTTATTTCTGCACTTTTCATTGATATTTCAAACATTTGCCCTTTTATACATTTGGATGCAATGAGTTTTGGGTATGTAAAATTTGTTAACAGGAGATTTTTAAGTGTACATTTTCTAACTTGTGAAATGTTCAAAAGCAAAGACCCTAAGGAATGCACAGTGCCAGCCCCTCGCCCTTACAAGTCCAAAAACAAATCTACCATAAAGTAGAATTCATAGAAAGGATCATTCTATATATGAAGATATATTGATAAAAACAATATGTTTTTTCCTTAAACATATGAAATAAGTTAATTGAGTCATGCCAGAAACATAAGTAGGAATATTATCATATATTATCAACAAGAAGTTGCTTCTAGATGGAGCAGTTCTTCAGCCAGTATCCACATTTCCTTAGATGTAAAATAGTAGTGGTAGAAACTATCTTGATTCTTAGAAACATGGAAATTTTACTGGCAATTTTGTGCTACCATACCATTATTCTCTTTTAGGGACATGTTTTCTCAGTCCTTTCCAATTGTGCACTGTAACAGAGGCTATCTGCGTCCTGCCATGTCCTCTTGCATTTAAATCTTCCCATAGGTCAATAGCTTTATGGAAAACTGTGACATTCTTCTTGAGAGCTTGCTGTGGTCACAGGAGAGAGCTCCATGTATCAGGCCAGAAGTGACAATTAATGCCTACAGCAGCAGCCCTCAACAAATAATGTATCATATTGGTGACAAAACAACTCACCTTCTTTGTCTTTTGGTTAGAATAACTCTGGGGTGAATTCTCCACTAACTCCTAGAGATCCCCAGTGAAACTGAAACCAAAAAGCTCACATTGGCACCTGTTCATTTACACTCTCTGAACTGGCTGCATATCTTCACTGTCTCTCACTTTTTCACACTCCTACCTATGGTTTCTAGGATCACTTCTCAAACTACTGATCTCAAGACCTGGTCTCAGGGTCTGGGATTCCCCAACCCAACACACACCCTTAAGTACAGGAAAGAGAGCTTCCTGTCCCGGGCCTCTTGCTTTCTAGGGCCTTACTCGGAATCTTCTCTGACATTGTCTCTCCACGTGTGTACGTAAGGAATACATAAGCTCGATGGGGCAGTCCTACATGGACCCTAGCCCCAACCACGTTCCAACTTCATGGGATGCCATAATTCACAATTCAAAGTGATCCTATTTCTGGTGCTTGCAGAGGACTCTTGCCAGTGTCAGTCCTCCCACTGTGAGACTCCCAGAATTGAAGGGTCCTTAGGAGGTGGCTATTATGGTTGAAAGTGTGGACCGATGGTAGTTACGCAAGCTGAGGTACCCACACATTTGTACACAAGAGGCATTATTGCACATGTTAGAGTTGAAAGAAGGAAGAAAACAGGATGAGCACCGGACCAGGGTCCCGCTAATTTGTGCTGTCATATTCTAGTGCAAAACTCTGAGAAGGCCAAGAATTCTAAATTCAATCTTGGCTCTTTCAGGTTTGTGTAAGGTAATATTTGTCAATGTGAAAAAATAGAATGTATTCTATTTAACATTTTGTTAGTTTGATGTATTACTTTTAAAATTTAGACATCTGGTATGTGGGCTTCCATATATGCTTTTGACCTGGACATCACAAATATTAAAAACATTCTGGACCTGTCTCTTCCATCCCTGCTCTTCTCAGATTTAGCTCACCCGGGGCCTTTTCTTTACAAGTTATCCTGGTAACTGTGGCAGTTGCCAGGGTTCTGTAATTAAAGATAACCAAATGCAATGGTACCTTGGTACTCATTGTTAATTTGTTCCCAAACTCATGACGAATACCGAACTATGAAGCATTTTGTCTTGTGGGGCAGAGGCATGACTCATACAAGTTCTAGCAACTGCAATGAGTTTCGAGCAAGCGCCAAGTGCCGAAGCATTTTTTTCTTATCAAAATGCGTCAAGTACAGGGTTTCACGAGTTCTGAAGCCAACGAGTACCAAGGTATGACTGTATATATAAATTTATCATATTACAGTTACTGAGAAAACTAAAGGAACATAAGAGAAAATCTCAATAATGAAAGAATACTTAATTTTACATAACATTAGCTAGAGAAAGTTGGTGTGATCTACAGTTTTTGAAACGACTCAAAAACATGCTATACTCAGATCCTAGAATAGGTCACGGTTGAAACAATAAGTCAATACCACTATTTTGGTCAGCTATCCCTGCATAACAAAGTACACCAAAACCTATTGGTTTAAAGAAAGAACAACTTATTTGCTCATGATTCCATGGCCTCACCACCTCTGGGAAAGCATATCTGCTTCATGTGGTATTGGATGGACTCACTCATGAATTGGGATGTCAACTGGAAATTCTGGCCATAAGGTCTCTAGACTTCTATGAGATGAGCCTACCATTTTTCCTATAGTACAGAAGAATTACTAGTAGCAAAAGAAGGAGAGCTTTGATATACAAATGGTTATCAAATACCTGCTTCCTTCACATTCCTTAATAATCCATTGGCCAAAGCAAGTCATACAGCCAAAACCAAGGTCAGCAAAGGAGGAAAGACTACATAAAACATGCATACAGGCAGGCATAATCCACTTGGGCTTTTACTAAAACAATCTACCTCTTAACTACAAAGGAAGATACATGTATAAAACAGTTAGGTGAAAGAAGCAATCAATTGAGAGTTTAAAATCCTGTTTCCTACTTTTAGTTCCTCTCCTGCACTGTGTGACCTTGGGCAAAGAATTTAGACTTTAAAAAAAAAGATTTTACTTATTTATTTTTAGAGAGAGGGAAAGGGAGGGAAAAAGAGAGGGAGAGAAATATCAATGTGAGAGAGAAACATCAATCGGTTGCTTCTCATACACGTCCCAACCTGCAACCCAAGATGGTGCCCTGACCAGGAATGGGCCAAATGATGTTCAGCTCTGCAGTGGACAAAGCATGGCCAACTGCACCATGCCATCCAGGGCTAGACTTTTTTTTTTTTAAGAACTCAATTTCTTAATCTGTTAAAATCAAATAGTGAGATGTAATCAGCAGCTTTCAAGCATTTTATTTTTTGGTTTGGAGGTCCTGTGTATGAACAATACCTAAGACAGAATCTCAACATACTAAAAACATTAACATAGAGTTGATCTGGTTGAAGTAGGATGAGAAGCTAGAAGCT